AAAATATCATCAGCAGCAGCAGCAGCATCATTATCAGGTACTTCAGACCATTTAACATTAATCATCATTGCTAGCTGACAGTAATTACAAGATTTTAAACCTCATTCTATTTTGAATATATTATGTGTTGTTTAATGGTAGAGAGCGAGACATTAAGTAATATATTGATATTATGCGATAGCGTGAGTGCTATATCTATATATTATAAAATAGAGACACTATCCCGCAGGTGCTTTTCAATGAAATTCGTCACGCTAGTCCAATATTTCATCTAGTATAAATAATGTACGCTTGGCACATTGCCTGCACCATTATTTGAAATAACAGTAAGCCAACATCAAAGGATGACGTCACATCTGTATTTTATATTATGTTATAGAATGATCTAGAGAAATGATGTGGTGTAGTTAGAGGACTGATTCTAGATCTGACAGATATCAGGATAAACCTACTGTAGAATACTAGATCTGACAGATATCAGGATAAACCTACTATAAAATACTAGATCTATATTTCTACTATGATTATATAAGATACTTGACTTGACAGATTATACCTAGATTAATATAATACTGTATTAACCTCTATTTCTACATAGAACAAAAAATATTCATATTCGTTATTTTTAGGCAAGGATTATATTTGTGTATAAGCTTGATAACGACTTGTGAAATAAACCATAGTAATTGTTATTCCATAAAAGTCTGTTTTTGATTATGTTCCAATTACTAAATGGCATTCAAAGAATAGAATAGATTATATAAGGGCGCCTGAGTTTTCTAGGAGTCCTCTGGTTTTCACTCACTCTCTCTCTCTCTCTCTCACTCTCTCTCTCTCTCTCTCTCTCTCTATATATATATATATAAGATAAATATCTGTTTATTATTACTGAGTCATTATGCACTGTCTTACTATATGCTAATTTCGAAATGTTAATGTGACGCGATAAACACCACTTCAACAAAATTATTTATTGTATAAATTTTTTTTTAAAAAAAATCACCTTATGGATCCAATTTGTTATTGAGTGTGTTTTTAACACCCTAGGTCACATAGAGTATTTATATATAACCTGTTCAATCACGTTCTCATCTAATATTAACTGATTTACTGATTTACCTGGGGTTTATCAGTTTATAAACAGAAACAACCTAAAGCTAGTCACCTTGTTATATCACCTGTACTGTTGATTACAGATAGTCTGTTTTACCTATAAATAGAGGCAGGTGTCATGTATGATGCAGGGTATACTTGCTGTTTCTAGAACAACTGATACCATTTTAATGAATAGTGATATAAGTAGTGGTAGATGTCAGGCACTTGGTAGGGTATGCTTATTCTTTCTAGATCACCTTATACCATTTCTCTAATTAAATAGATATAAGTTAGATCACCTATACTATTAATTACAGGTATATATTCTGTTTTCTCAGTTATTTTAGCTATAAATAGGGTCAGGTGTTGTACATGAGGCAGGGTATGCTTACTCTTTTAGAACATCTGATACCACTAGTGAAAGATGTCATGATATTGGCAGGATATGCTTATTCTTCCTAGAACATCCGATATCACTTCTTCACTTGATATAAGTGATGATATATGTCCGCTTTGTCAGTTGCATTGTTATACTAGAAGTGTAAATCTAAAATGGGGAAAAAATTACTTTAAAAAAAATTGCCAGGGTTAGCAGGACCAAATCTTTCGAGAAACCCTGGACTAAGTTGTAATTTAAAAATCTTATCAAAGGGGTCAAGTCTTCATTTTATAATAAATAAGGTGAACAGTGTTTAACCATGTTAACACTACTTCCAATAAATAGTGACATCTTCAACTAGGTGGGGTGATATATAGTAGCTTGGTCTTAATTCTCATCACTAATCTCAGGTAATCACTGGATTAACAGACTTAACTTGTGACAACAACAGATTGTTTTAGGAATGTGTTACACCAGAGAGAATATAAAAACTTCAGCCTGTGTTGCAGTGAAATAAACAACAAATTAAATACAACAGCCTGTTTTCAGCTGATCAGTTAGGAATTTATTACACCACTTGGTTTTAGTTAAATTAGCATAATCCACTTACTATAGTCCAGGTGACAATTACAATCAACTGGGGCTGATTCTAGGATCATTGAGGAATTTGTCACAGCTGATAGATTGAAAAAGACAACTTGTGTTTTAGACAGATTAGGCCAAACAATGTTATTTTATGGTCTTCAGAGTTGTGATGAATAAATAAGTCACTTTGAATCACATGAAAGATGGTTTATTTAAAATTGACAAATATTGAACTAAAAGCTATTGAACAGTTCATCCAAGTATTTTTGGTTTTTATTTTTTCATGAGGAATAAGAAGGAAAAGTTTTACAGGTTTTTCCGAAGAAACTAAAATCAAATTGGTGTTGCCTTAGAGGACTTGTTCAATGTTCTGATGGATTAAACTTAATAGAGGTGCTCTTGAAGAACAAACAATTGACTTGGTGTGGCCTTTAGTGGTTTGCACTTGCTTTGTGTTTTCGATGGATTAGACTTGTTCTGTCACGTTAATTAGTTATAACTATGATATCACCTTGCTGAATGCTGACATTAATCTCCACAACAACAAACTGAAATTATTTAGTTGACCTCGTCCACACCAGGTCAGTCTGATAGATTTTAATAATGGTTTAGTTCTATTACCTGGATTTCTTTCTGTGGAATATTAGATATTGGGTCATGAGAAGGGAATTATTGCCAATACAGGTGAGAAAATACCTGGATTTATCCCAATTAAAAGTTCTAGAGATTAAACCAAACCATTCTGGATAAAATTTGTAACAATGTGAATTAATTTTGATTAACTTTCTCACTCATGGTTGACCTGACTGCCTTTTAATTAGGGATTGTATGAACCGTGAATGCCAAGAATTCTAAAGATTAAAAGGGGAAATGAACCCAAGCAAGTCAGAATAGTTTGTCCACCTTTGATCCTACCAATTATTGATATAAAAATCTGATAGTCTAAAGGAGATAAATTGCTAATATTTGGGATCTAGAAATTGACACAAATGGGTCACAACTCCTATAATAATGAAATATGAATGTATATGAACTGATTTAAAAAATCGTTTCCGTTTTTACTCTAATTTCTAATCAGTTATTTTCGGCGAAATACGCCAGAAATCTCAATCGAATGGCAATCTGTAGTGTCTGGTTATTCCATGCTCTCCAGATAAGAATATCTCGACACCGTTTAACATGACTTGTGGAATCTGATAGTTTAAGCTTCGATATATTTTTGAATAATACCCTTAGTTTTTTATCTATCTATTCTGTGACGTTACTGAATTTGTCTGACCTATCACCCTTGGTGGATGTGGACGTAAAACTCCAGGAACCTACAAACGAACTATACTGTAAACAAACATTATTTTGATAGCCTGCTACTAAATTACGAATTAGTTTTCAAACGTATTTGAGAAAAGTTGTGGATTGCAAGAAACGTTTTTAATAAATTGACTGTTAAAGATGCCTTCTAGAGAATATCCTAGTGTTCATTTTGTGAAAATCGTGCCATTTCATCAAAAATGATGTAAATTCAAGACTAATAAAGGATCCCTGAACTAAAAAAAAGGGCGCAAACTAAGAACATTTAACTTCTTTAGTGGACCCTTTGTAGACCACCAATTATTTTATTTCATTGAAAATTTATGTATATGTTTTTATCTATAATTTTAACGCCTTTTGTATAATAAATGAATAAATGGCATTTTTTCACACCGATGGCATGGCGTTGTATATTTTAATAGATTTTTTAGATGAGGAATATAAAGCCCTGTTTCCTTCTGTAAAACATTTACATTTTTTATAAGAATAACATGTGATTAATTTGATTTTCATTGTAAACCCATATATGTCAAAACTTGTTAGTTGTTAACCCTTTCACTGCGTATACCCGGTAGTACCGGGTATTATAAAATGTCGGTAAAATGCCCGTACCCGGTATTACCGTGTACTCAGTAAAGCCCTCGCTAAAATTAGTACCGTAACTGCAAGTGCCATCTATTGTATTTTCTATACACTAGAACATATTTCACGTGTTTCAAAGCGGCAAACCGTAAAATGGCGGCGTGCATAGTGACAACGTAGACGATGCACTCTCGACGAAGTCGTGAATGACGTCTTGCTGACCAACACGTGGACAATTTCGAGGCGGGTGATACACATAATTCGTTTCCAGTTACTTGATAATGATAGTAGTCAGGACAGTGATTGGTATTATGAAGTGTGTGATTTGTTGCGCGACGTTCCGCCCATGGCTAGCTATGTCTCCCGTGCATGATGAACAAGCCCAATGTGAACACGATAGCCCTGTGTCTGCAGTAGATTCTGACAATAATTCTGATGTTGATAATAATGCTGGCCTGCTGGATCGTAAAAGACGTAGGTAATTCCTGATTCCCGAACGTGTAGATCTATTGACTGACTATATTGATAATGATATGGGACTTGGGGATGAAAGTGAAAGTAAAAACAAAGTATTGCAATCCGCACGTGGTCATGGCAGCGGGAGACGTGATGCGCGTGTTCGCGACGGCATTGCTCATGGTTGCTATTGATATTTTTGTTCATTTTATATATCTTTATCAAAATCCAGTGAAAAAAACAATATCTTTTAAGTATTTCATGGAGAAAAATTCGTTTTCGTGTTAGCTTTAGTGAGAAATGAGAAATCCAAAATGGCCGCCATGACGTCACGTGACTACATTATTATGCAAATTTCCAAAATTCTATTTTTTCCTCTTAGCCCAACCTCATGCCCATCCCAACAGACAAAAAGATTTTTCATAAAAGCTTCCATAAGTACTGCTTGGCATTCAGTCCCAACCTCCCTTTTTTCCTCAAAAAAAGGGTCTAGCACAGGCAGTGGATTTACGTCTAGCATTGAAAGGGTTAATGTTATTTTAGAAATCTGATATATAAGTTGATGTATATTTAAACCTTAATTTTATTTTTACAGACAATATGGAAGCCATTACAGAAAATGGATTGGCTGAACAACTTGCTTTGGTAAGTTCACATTTATTACATTCTTCTTATCCCTCAGGATTTATCAGAGTGGTCTCCCCTTGTCAATGGTACTGACAGCCTGGCAAGGACCAGCGTTTCGTTTGAATGTGACGAAAAACAGAAATTCTACATTCATTACCCAACATATTTACCATGTTATTCACAATCGTGAGACAGAATCCTATTGAATATCAGCAATGTCAGATAATAACTTCTGCCCTTTTTTAGTTTTTAGAAACTTGTGAACTTTTAAACATCGTAAATCAACTGATCTACTTTAGACTCAATGGTTTTTATTCCAGTTTTTGCTTTAAATTACAATTCCAACATTTCCTGATAGTTATTTATGGGTTATTGGCATTGGTTGTGTCATAGTTTTGGAGGTGGGAGGGGGAGGGTGTTTATAGTTCTTTGCCTGGCAAGCTATCTTTGAAATTATGACAAATCAACAAATTAAATGAAAACTATAATAAGAGACCATCGACATCCAATCAAAAGTTTTCTTATAATAATACAATGTTTTTAGACGATAATTGACATCTGTTCTGATAATAATATCATGTTTTTAAAGGAAATGGACATAGGTTCTGAAAGTAATGTCAGGAAATGGACATATGTTCTGATGATAATGTCCTCACATTGCTAATAAATCATAGAAATAAAAGCTACCATGAATTTGACTCCAAATGGCTGAAGTATTGAGTTTACAAGACATTGAACCCTACTTCATTTCATTTCATAGTAATCGAAACATGACCTTTGGATAGGATGATAAATGTTAATATCTGTTCACCAGTTTTCAAAATTTTTTAGAGGATGTAGATATATGTTCTGATAATGATATCATGTGTTTAGAGGAAATGGTTTGTGGTGAAACTCTGTAACAATAAACGACAATAGATTTAGCTAGAGTGTATCATGTTAAATTGACGTCATGTAGAACATCTTTACAACTTTTTAACCTGCTGTGATAAAACACACCCAGTATTTTATAGCATCGGTGCCAAGTTGCTTTGTGTTTACCAGATATTAAGCCAAACCAAAGTCATTTTTAGTTCTTTAATAATTATTTTCTGAGCGGTCTCTCACATATGAAGTCGTTTGACTGGCGAGAAAGGATTCCTTTTGACCAACTTAAAGAAGAACTACGGTGATAAATAGAAGGTACATGTAAGGACTTTCAAAAGGAGAAGAACAGAGGTGGGGATAGAGCGTTATTTTTATTAAAATTCATATTACTTGTTAATAGGAACGGACAGAGGTATTTTGATTGCTCGATTAGAGACCAGAGCCATGGTGTTTAGCAAGTAGGGCACTGGCTCGCTAGCCTGGAGGTCGCATTTTTGATCCCTGCATTGGGCCTAGAAAGTTCAGGACGGGAGGGCCTGACAAGGACAGTTGTCTAGTCATTCGGATGGGACAGAAAACTGAGAATCCGTGTATACATTGGCATGCACGTAAAAGATCCCTTGGCAACTGGAATTCGATATTTCCATTATAGCACACTATAGGGCGTATGCCCGTTTACATTAGCCCAGTCGGAGAGCAAAACAGTAGGATGTTAAACCCCATTTCATTTCGTATAGAGACCGTTCCAAAAGAAGAAGAAGCGAGTATTTTTTGTTCTTAAGTTATTTTTATATCCCCCAAGAAAGAATTAGAAAGTTTGAATACCAGTTTCCGAAAATCAAAAGTTCAAATTGGTTTGGTCAATAAGTTTTGTTCAATCAGGGATATTAATACAATTTAGAGATGATGGAAAATATTTCAGAATTGGAGGAGATTGTTGACCTCTTTCTTAAAGATACAATATGATTAGAAAAAGAGCTGGCAGTTCTCACTATAATAGTTAAAAACTAGATAATGTAAAGGAAATTTGCTGAAAATTTCAGTCAAATTGATCCAGCCTGAACAGAGAATTTAGCAATTGAATTTTGGGCCTAGCCATGATGGTAAGATATAATACATAGTCTCGATTATCCATTTCATGATTTTATCATGAATGAGCATAGAGCAGCAGATTGGATCCTAATCCAGTAAATATCGCAGGCTAGCGATGCCATCGAGAGTTGATTATGGTCTGGATAAGTTAATTAATGTCTAATTAATAATTTAGATAACCTTTCAGGCATGAAGAAAGACCTGTAATAGACAGATTTAGCTCTTGAATAATGTATGTTTAACTTTTGTAATTTGCGTCAATAAAATGAAATTCTGAAGCTGCCAGTAATTTATTTAGTATAAAAGATTAATTTTTTAGCCACCATGGAAATAGTTTCTTACCTTCAGATATATTTAGAATAGAAACATGTGGCTTATATCTCAGTTACCTGAAGCCATCTTGACTTCCGCTAATAGAGATAAGGAATAACGTCTGGATCAAGTAGTACTGGTCAAACTGTCGATAGATATATCACAATAAAAAAATTGTATGTGAAAAAAGTATTCTGTATAACAGAAGGTATCAAGGTGTTCTGAAACAACAGATATAGATTAAGTTAGAAAGACTTGAGATATTAGTGTTCCACCATCTTTAAAATATAGATAACAACTATAACGTCTACATCAAGTAGTACTGGTCAGACATTAAACAAAACTTGTGTGTGTTAAGATTTATAAATCTTTAAAATATAGATAACCACTGTAACGTCTACATCAAGTAGTACTGGTCAGACATTAAACAAAACTTGTGTGTGTTAAGATTTATAAATCTTTAAAATATAGATAACATCTGTAACGTCTACATCAAGTAGTACTGGTCAGACATTAAACAAAACTTGTGTGTGTTAAGATTTATAAATCTTTAAAATATAGATAACAACTGTAACGTCTACATCAAGTAGTACTGGTCAGACATTAAACAAAACTTGTGTGTGTTAAGATTTATAAATCTTTAAAATATAGATAACAACTGTAACGTCTACATCAAGTAGTACTGGTCAGACATTAAACAAAACTTGTGTGTGTAAAAATTCATAAATCTGGGAAAAGGTTTTGTGAACCAGAATGTGAGATGTTCCGTAACAACAGACATTGATTAAAATAGAAAGAGAGATTTTTGATATTGGAGTGCCACCATCTTAAAAATATAGATCAGATATACGAATGTTGATATATTATAATAAAAAGCTTGTGTATACGAATTTAGAAATCCAGAAAGTTTCTGGTGTTCCTGAATATAGATTAAATTACAAAATTTGTATGGCAGAATTTGGAATCTAGAATAACTCTTTGTCAAAAAAAGATAATTGTTGAGTTGTTGATTTGAGATATTTTTGTGAATTGGATAATATGTTTAAAGTCTAGATATAGATTACCATCGATGCTGCCAGGAGTTATTGAGGTAGGCCTAAATACATATTGTACATAAAAATGCTACAGATGCTGCCAACAGCATGATGTATATCACTACTCAGCTGATGTTTTGAGAAATGGTATCGGGTGTTCCAGAAATGGTTAGAATGTCCTGCAAAACACTAGTTAAACCCAGCTTGGAATATTTTACTGTGGAAATGAAATTAAATGGGGTTTTACGTTCAATTGTTTTACTCCGACTGGGCTAATGAATACAGTGTGCTATGAGGAAAATTTTGCCCGAACAGCGATGCTACAGCCTACTCTTACATCGAATTCCAACTGTCAAGGGATCTTTTACATGCAAGACAGTGTGTACACAGGACCTTGGGTTTATCATCCCATTGGAACAACTATACATTGTCCCTTGCCAGGGCCTATATCCTGCACCACTGACACGGTGGGACCACCCCAGAAAATCCCAAAGATGCAGAAATCAACACTGTAACCCAGGTATCATTTAATCTTGTGTATTTAGCACAATTTCTTTCACATTCGTTTAATATCAAATCACCCCAAATCATCTAATTTGTACTGGTATCCAGATTAAATCTGACTGATTAATTTTGACAATGAGTGTCCAATTTACAAGTATTTAATTTCCTGACCACTGTTTAAAAATTAATCATTATGGGTTGTTTATTTTTTAACGGTGATTGAGAAATTAAACTCTCGTGAATTGGACACTCATTATTAAAATTAAACAGAGCTTTAACTGGACACAGGTACAAATTAAACAAAGATTTAATATTAAACAAATGTGAAAGAAATAGTGCTCGCTAGCCTGGAGGTCGGTGTTCGAACCCTGCATTGGCCGAGAAAGTTCATCTAGATTTTCCCACATGGTTTCCCCTTGTCAGTGATGCAGGACGAAGGGCCTGACAAAGACAGCTGTCTAGTCGTTCGGATGGGACGAAAAACCGAGGTCTCGTGTTCACATTGGCATGCACGTAAAACATCCTTTGGCAGTTAGAATTCAATATAAGAGTAGGCCGTAGTGCCGCTGTCCGGGCAAAATTTCCCTCATAGCACATTGTATGGCGTATGCCCGTCTTCATTAGCCCAGTTTAGGAGCAGAACAGTAGGACGTTAAACCCTATTTCATTTCATTTCGCTACATACACAAGATTAAATGATACCCGGATTACAGTGTGAACATGGGACCTCCAGGTTACCGAGCAAGCATCTTACACACTTAGCCACTGTGGCTCCATTTTACTGTAGAACTAAGTACCATATGTTTAATATGTTTTCAAAAACACACTTTTATGGATAACAATTACTATGGTTTATTTCACTGCGACGTTTCAACAAGGTTTCACAAGTCGTTATCAATGGTAAAATGTTAAATTTGATATCAAATGATTTATGAACCACGAAGATAGAATTGTTATTCACCTACCAGTGACTTAAAGTTTTTTAGCTTTTGTCTTTGCCCCTTTAATTTTGTATCATATCTGGCTTTGGTTCTATTCTCTGCTGAAATGGAGGAGGGGGGATGGCCGAATGGTTAGCACATGCGCGCTGTATCATAAGGTCTGTCATTGAGTCAACTGGCGTGGTTTCGATTCCCCGGTTTTACATGACAAGGAGTTGGTTCGTCTGTCTAACCTCGTGGGTTTCTCCGTTTTTCCCCCACTGCTAAA